TTAATCGAGGGGGGGGGTGGGGGGGCAGTGCGGTTTGGGGAGGGGGGGCTCCCGGCGACCCCCCCCCGGGCACGGCGGGGTTTTGCACATTCATTGTTCAGCCGGTGCCGCGACGTCATCGGGCCGCGGCCGCCGCGGCGCCTGTCGGGACAGCGGGGCCCTGTCGGGACAGCGGGGCTCTGTCGGGACAGCGGGGCCCTGTCGGGACAGCGGGGCTGTGTCGGGACAGCGGGGCCCTGTCGGGACAGCGGGGCCCTGTCGGGACACGGGACAGCCCGGGGAGGCGGGGGTTTGGCCCGTGGAGGGGGGTCACGTCCTGGGGCTCTGTCGGGACAGGCAGGGGGCAGGGTTTGACCCTGTGGGGGGGGGGCAGCCCAGGTGTGACCCCCCCTCCCCCTCCACGTGTGGCCACAGGCGGAGCACGAGGACCGGAACCCCCAAAATGAAAGTGGATCGGACGAAACTGAAGAAAACTCCCACGGAGGCGGTGAGGGCTTGGGGACACTCGGGATGGGGCTGGGGACACTCGGGATGGGGCTGGGGACACTCGGGGAGGGCTTGGGGACATTCAGTGAGGGCTTGGGGACACTCGGGGAGGGGTTGGGGACACTCGGGGATGGAGTTGGGGATACTCGGGTAGGGGTTTGGGACATTCAGTGAGGGCTTGGGGACATCAGGAGGATGTTGGGGACACTCAGGGAGTGTTGAGGGGACAGCAAAGGGCCGGAATTGGAGATGTTTGGGGGGTGGGGACATTGGGAAGGGAACTGGGGGGTTTTGGGGACACCATGAGGGGACATTGCTGAGTTCCCTGTGTCCCCCAGCCCGCCGACTGCCGGGCCCTCATCGAGAAGCTGAAGGGCTGCAGTGATGAGCAGCTGGTGACAGAACTGCAGCAGATCAAGACATGGAACATTGGGAAGGTGGGAGGGGGCCCCAAAACCTGGGGGGGGGGCCCAAAACCTGGGGGGTGCCCAGAACCTGGTGGGGGATCCCAGAACCTGGGGGGGTCCCGAGGTGAGTGGGAGTTTCCTGAGGGATTGTCCACAGTTTGTCAGGGTGGTGCTGAGCTTGTCCCCAAACTGGTTACTGCCACAGGGGGTGTCACCCTGGAGCACCCCTAAATTGCAGGGAGCACCCCCAGATTTGGGGGAGGGGGCACTCCAGAGTGTTTCTCAAATGAGGGAGGGGTCCCTGGTTTCAGGTGAGCCCCTTCAGCCTTTGGGTGGGGCAGTTCAGGAGTTCTCTGGAGGTTTAGAAATGGGGGGGGGGCTTTTACATTTCCTGCAGCCCACTCCAATGTTAGGGGATCCCCCCACGTTTTATTTAACTTTCCCTAAATTGGGGGGGCTCACCAGTGTCCTCAGAGCCCCCTTGGAATGGCAGGGGGCACCACAGAGTTCCCAGGACACCAAGGTGGGGGGTCCCTATTTGCCCCCCACCCTGGAGCTGTTTGGGTGTAAATTTTCCCTCAGGGATTCCTAAAATTCTAAGGAGGAACCTTAATATCCTAAAAATAGTGGGGGGAGAACCCTGTAGACCCCAAAATGTGTGGGGGTACCTCAGTTTCCCCCAAACACCTGGGGAGGACTCAGATTTTTTCCCAGCCTCCAAAATTCTTCATTTTCTTCCTCTGTGTTGGGGAGGGGGCTCAGCTGCCAACTGCACAGGCTGGGCTGGGATATTGGGGTTCCTGCTTGGAGTTCTGGGGGTCCCCCCTGGGATATGGGGGTTCAGGGGGGCTGGGCTGGGGTCTGGGCTGTACCCAGGGGTGTCAGGGAGCCTGGGTTGGGATCCAGGCTGTGCTTCCAGCCCCACATCTTACCCCTAATCCCCCCAGTGTGATCTGTACCCCTGGGTAGATGTGGGGGGTCTCGGGGGGTCCCAGGCTGTGCCCCCAGCCCCACATCACCCCCTAACCCCCCCCTTAGTGCACACTGTACTCCTGGGTGAATGTGGGGGTCTGGGTTGGGGTCCAGGCTGTGCCCCCAGCCTCACATCCCCCCCCTAACTTCCCCTCCCAGTGTGAGCTGTACCCCCTGGGTGGATGTGGGGGTTTGAGTTGGGGTCTGGGCTGTACGCAGGGTGCTCGGGGGTCCCAGGCTGTGCCCCCAGCCCCTCACCCCTCCCCTAACCCCCCCCGTGTGAGTTGTACCACTGGGTGGATATGGGGGGCTGAGTTGGGGTCCAGGCTGTGCCCCCAGTCCCACATTCCCCCCTAACTTCCCCACCCAGTACCAGACGTGGACCTGAGAGTCTGCATTGGGGTTTGGGCCATACCCGGGGGTCTGGGTTGGGGTCCAGACTGCGTCCCCAGCCCCAAATCCCCCCCCTAACCCCCCCCCCACAGTGCGAGCTGTACCACTGGGTGGACCTGCTGGACCGCTTCGACGCGCTGCTGGCCGAGGCGGGCCGGCCGGTGGAGGCCATGAGCTGGATGCTGGCCTGCGACCGGCCCGAGCGCCAGCCCCTCAAGGCCCTGCTGCTGGCCCTGCTCAACTTCACGGCCCTGCTCATCGAGTACAGCTTCTCCCGCCACCTCTACAGCTCCATCGAGGTGGGCGCGCCCCCGGACCCGCCCTCTGCGTGTCCCCAGGCGTGTGACGCGCTGACGCGCCCGTCCTGTCCCCGCAGCACCTGACCACGCTGCTGGCCTCCTCGGACATGCACGTGGTGCTGGCCGTGCTCAACCTGCTCTACGTGTTCAGCAAACGCTCCAACTACATCACCCGCCTGGGCTCCGAGCGCCGCGGGCCCCTGCTGGCCCGCCTGCAGCACCTGGCCGAGGTGGGCGGGGTTTTGGGAGGTTTTTGGGGGGATTTTGGGGGGTTTGGGGGCTCAGCAGGGCTGAGTTGGGCTGGTCTCCCTGCAGAGCTGGGGTGGAAAGGAGAATGGATTTGGGTTGGCTGAGTGCTGTCGGGACCTGCACATGATGGTGAGTGACACCTGCGGGTCACCTGAGCTCGTGTGGGTCACCTTGTTTTGTCATGGGAGCCCCCAGAACTTGTGTCTGTCACCTTGCCCTGTGTGAGCACTCACCTTTGTTACCTTGTCCTGTCTCAGTGGTCCCCAGAACTCACCTGTGTCACCTTGTCCTGTTCCCAGAACTCACCTGTGTCACCTTGTCCTGTCCCAGAACTCAACTGTGTCACCTTGTCCTGTCCCAGAACTCAACTGTGTCACCTTGTCCTGTCCCAGAACTCACCTGTGTCACCTTGTCCAGTTCTGGGGGTCCCCAGAACTCATGCCTCACAGGACTTTCTGTCGTATCTTGGTGTGACCTGTTCCCAACATCACTTTTTGTGCCTTTGTGACATCCTGAGGCCCCTTGATGCCGTCCTGGGGTCTTCAGTGCTGTCTGGTGTCCCCTCAGGGGGTCCCCAGTGCTGTCCTGTCCCCAATGCCCTTCCATGTCCCCCAACACCACTCTGTCACCCCTGTTGCATCCTGGGGTCCCCCCACCCCTTTCCCTATGTGCCAGTGTCCCCCAGCCTGGCCCTGTCACCCCAGGGGAGGGGACTCTGCTGTGCCCCCCTCATCCCTGTGTCCCCCCCCAGAAATACCCCCCCAGTGCCACCACTCTGCACTTTGAGTTCTACGCTGAGCCGGGCGTCGAGGTGAAGGTGGACAAGAGGGTGAGTGATACTGGGGACATTTTGGGACATTTGGGGACATGAGCAGGCCCCCAAAACACCGGGGCCGCCCTTTGACCTCCTGTGACCCCTCCAGGCCACCAGCACCACCCTGCACTACATCCACATTGAGCAGCTGGACAAGGTAAGTGTGGGGGGCACCTCGATTTTGGGGGGGGGGGGCTCTGCTTGGGTCAGGGCCCCCCTATACCCTGCACTGCCCTTTTGTTCCTCTGTCCCCTGATTCTGTTCCTCTGCCCCCTAATTTTGTCTTCTGCCCTCCTATTTTGTCTCCTGCTCCTCAGTTTTGTTACTTGCACCCCAGTTTTGTTCCTCTGTACCCAGTCTTTTTTGTTCACACCCCAATTTTGTCCCTTGTCCCCCCCAGTTTTGTTCCCTCTCCCCTAATCTTGTCCCTCCACACCCCAATTTTGTCCCCTGCCTCCCCAGTTTTGCTTCTGCTTCTCCCAGTTTCTCTTTCCCCTCCTCCCCCAGATCTCAGAGAGCCCCTCGGAAATCATGGAGTCCCTGACCAAGATGTACAGCATCCCCAAGGACAAGCAGGTGTGTAGGGTGACATCAAGGGGACCCCCACAGGTTGGGGGTTGACCCTCAGACCCTCCCTAACACCCCCAAATCCTCTTTCCCCCCCCCTCAGATGCTGCTGTTCACCCACATCCGCCTGGCCCACGGCTTCTCCAACCACAAGAAGCGGCTGCAGGCAGTGCAGGCGCGGCTCCACGCCATCTCCATCCTGGGTGGGCCTTTGTTAGGGCTTGTTTTAATTGGGGGGTGGGTTTAGGGGGTCGGGGGGTGCCTTTGGGGAGATCCTGGGGCAGTTGGGGTGACCCCCCTCTCTTCGCAGTGTACTCCAACGCGCTGCAGGAGTCGGCCAACAGCATCCTGTACAACGGGCTGATCGAGGAGCTGGTGGACGTGCTGCAGATCACCGACAAGCAGCTGATGGTGAGGCCCAGAGACCCCCGAGGCCGAGCCCTGTCCCTTGTGTGTCCCCTCACCTGTCCCTTGTGTGTCTCCTAACCTGTCCCTTCATTTGTCTCCTTGTGTGTCCCCTCACGTGTCCCTTTTGCGTTCCCTTGTGTGTCCCCTCGCCTGTCCCTTCGTGTGTTCCCTTTACTGACATGCTGCTCATCAAGGATGTGAACGTGGCTCACCTGTCCTGTAGCTGTCACCTCACCTTTTCTGCATGTGTCACCTCACTTGTCCCGCATCTGTCACCTCACTTGTCCCGCATCTGTCACCTAACTTGTCCTGTACTTGTCCTACACTCTTGTGTTTTCACGTGTCTTGTATGTGTCCCTTTGCTTGTGCTTTCACTTGTTATGTCATTTGTCCTCTTGTGTGTCTCCTCACCTGTGTCATGCTGCACGTGCTGCTCATCAAGGACATGAGTGTCCCTTCTCTGTCCCACACTTGTTCCTCACCCGTCACATCATCTCTCCCCTTGTGTATTCTCTCACCGATATTATGCTGCTCATCAAACACATGAACGTGCTTTGCCTGTCCCACACCTGTCCCACCCTGTCCCTCACGTGTCCTTCCTGTGTCCCTGCCAGGACATCAAGGCGGCCTCCCTGCGGACGCTGACGTCCATCGTGCACCTGGAGCGCACGCCGAAGCTCAGCAGCATCATCGACTGCACCGGCACCGCCTCCTACCACGGCTTCCTGCCCGTGCTGGTGCGCAACTGCATCCAGGCCATGATCGGTGCGTGCCGGGGGCTGGGGGGGTCACCTGGGGGGTGTGACCCGCCCTAACCGCACCTGTGCACCCCCAGACCCTTCCATGGAGCCCTACCCCCACCAGTTTGCCACGGCGCTCTTCTCCTTCCTGTACCACCTGGCCAGCTACGACGCGGGCGGCGAGGCGCTGGTGTCGTGCGGCATGATGGAGGCGCTGCTCAAGGTGAGCTCTTGTCACCTGTGGGCAGCTCTCAGGTGCCTCGGGGACTGCCTCACCTGCTGTCTGTCCCCTCACCAGGTGATCAAGTTCCTGGGGGACGAGCAGGACCAGATCACGTTCGTCACGCGGGCGGTGCGGGTGGTGGATCTCATCACCAACCTGGACATGGCCGCCTTCCAGTCACACAGTGGGCTGTCCATCTTCATCTACCGCCTCGAGGTGCTGCCCCCCTCCCCCTGCCCTGCTTTTGGGGTGCACCGGGGGTGTTTTGGGGTCCCCTGGGGTGGTTGGGGTGCTGAGGCTCTGTTCCCCCCCAGCACGAGGTGGACCTGTGCCGCCGCGAGTGTCCCTTTGTCATCAAGCCCAAAGTGCAGCGCCCGCCTGCTGCCACCCTGCCCGAGGGCGAGGACATGGAGACTGATATGGAGGGTGAGCAGAGGCTGTGTCCCCCCTGTGGTGTCACCCATTCCCCCCGTGGTGTCACCCATTGCCCCTGCAATGTCACCGTCCCTCTGCAGTGACCGACGTGGCCATGGAGAGCAGTCCCGGCCCCTCGGCCGAAGCCCGGCCGGACCCGGTGCCACCAGCCCCGCCAGCCGTGCCCAGCACCAGCGCTGCCACCCCCTCCCCACGCGGTGGTAGGTGCCCCCCGGGGCTGGGGACAGTGGGGACATCACTGGACCCCAGTTTGTTCCCTACACGGAGACCCTAATTCGGTCCCCTACGTGGACACCCCAATTCTTCCTATAGGGACACCCTAATTGCTTCCCCGTATGGGCACCTTAATTTTTCCTACATGGATATCCCAGTTCCTGTTATATGGACACCCCAGTTCCATTCCTGTATGGACACCCCAGTTTCTTCCCTATGTGAACACCCCAATTCTCTTTACATGGACACCCTAATTCTGTTCCTATATGTACACCTCAATTCCTTCCGCATATGAGCACCCCAGTTCCTCCCCTATGAAGACCCCAAATTCTTTTTCATGTCTGTCTCTCTCTGGGGACACCCCAATTTCCTCGTGTGCCCCCCCCAGTCCTCACCCTATGTCCCCCCCCAGGAGTGCAGTGCATCCCCCAGCGCGCCGCTTTGCTCAAATCCATGCTGAACTTCCTCAAAAAAGCCATCCAAGACCCCGCCTTCTCCGACGGCATCCGGCACGGTGGGTGGTCCCCCACGTCCCCAAACCCCCCTGGGGGGTGGCAGGGGTGGTGTCACTGACCACACGTGTCCCCCACAGTGATGGACGGCTCGCTGCCCACCTCGCTGAAGCACATCATCAGCAACGCCGAGTACTACGGCCCCTCGCTGTTCCTGCTGGGTGAGCCACGCCCCGGCCCCACCCGGGCAGCGCGGGGCGGGCACGGAGCGGGGACCCCGCCAGGTGCTCTACCTGCCCTCAGTGCCCCCCTCTCTCCTCCGCCGCAGCGACCGAGGTGGTGACGGTCTTCGTGTTCCAGGAGCCCTCGCTGCTGTCCTCGCTGCAGGACAACGGCCTCACCGACGTCATGCTGCACGCTCTGCTCATCAAGGACGTGAGTGGGGCTTACCTGATACCTGTCCTACACCTGACGCCTGTTGCCTTGTGTGTCCCGTCACCTGTTTTCACATCTGTTGCATTTCTTGCCCTGCACCTGTTCTGCGTTCTTGTACCTGCTCCATTTCCTGCCCTGCACCTGTCCCTATCCCTGTTGCATTTCCTGCTCTGTGCTTGTCTCGTGTCCCTGTACCTGTTCCATTACCTGCCCTACACCTGTTGCTACGTCTGCCTTTCACTAATCCTGACACCTGCTTTGCACCTGTTCCATTACCTCTCCTACACCTGCTCCAGGTCTGCCTCTCACCTGTCTGCTCACCTGTGCATGGCCTGTCCCCACATCTGTCCTGTGTGTGCCACCTGTGCTGGTGCCACACCTGCCCCAGCTTCACCCCAGACTTCCCTCCCTCCTGCTGCTCACCTGCCCATGCTGGTGCCACACCTGCCCAGTGTGTGCCCCAGCTTTGCCCCACACCTGTCCAATGTCTGTGCCAGCCTTGCCCCTCACCTGCCCAGTGCCTGCCCCACCAATTGCTTCTCCCTTGCCCCAACTGTGCCAGCTTTGCCCCTCACCTGCCCTGTGTCTGCCGCACACCTGCCCCACACCAGATGTGCCCCCAGCCCCTGCCCCACACCAGGTGTGCCCCCAGCCCCTGACCTGCCCTGTGCATGCCCCACACCTGCCCCAGGTGTGCCATAACCCCTCACCTGCGCAGGTGCCGGCGACGCGGGAGGTGCTGGGCTCGCTGCCCAACGTGTTCAGCGCGCTGTGCCTGAACGCGCGGGGGCTGCAGAGCTTCGTGCAGTGCCAGCCCTTCGAGCGCCTCTTCAAGGTGCTGCTGTCCCCCGACTACCTGCCCGCCATGCGCCGCCGCCGCAGCTCCGACCCCCTGGGTGAGCGGGGGACACGGGGGTACTGGGGGGACTGGGGGATATTGGGGGGACTGGGAATACTGGGAACACGCAAGGTGCTGCTGTCCCCTGATTACTGTCCACCATGTGCCGCCACCACAGCTCCCACCCCCTGGGTGAGCAGGGGACACGGGGGTGCTGGGGATACTGAGGACATTGGGGGGACTGGGGATACTGGGGTGTACTGGGAATACTGGGGACACTGTGGGGACTGGGGACACACAAGGTGCTGCTGTCCCCTGACTGCTGCCCACCATGCGGTGCTGACGCAGCTCTGACCCCCCTTGGTGAGTGGGAGGTGTTGGGGGGACCGGGGTATACTGGGAATGCTGGGGACACTGGGGGACTGAGGACCCTGGAGATACCAGGGACACCAGGGATAATGGGGGTACTGGAGGCACTGGGGACCCAGCAAGCTTTTTAGCAATACATTTTGCTAACATTTAAATAATTCCCTCATTTTTTGGAGGTACTTGTGTTTATTTTATGTACCACCCGCTGTTAGTTTAACTCTCAGAATCTCTGTCCCCCAACCCCAACAAAACCTGCTCTGCGCTCCCCAAAATCTGCTCTGCCCCCCCAAAATGCTCTCTGTCCCCCCAGGTGACACAGCCTCCAACCTGGGCAGCGCCGTGGACGAGCTGATGCGGCACCAACCCACGCTCAAGACCGACGCCACCACCGCCATCATCAAGGTGACAACTTGGGGACATTTGTGGGGCTTCAGGACCCCCCAGAATCTCTCTGGGCCCCTCCTAAATGCCAGCCCCTCTGCAGCTGCTGGAGGAGATCTGCAGCCTGGGCCGGGACCCCAAGTACATCTGCCAAAAGCCGTCGATGCAGAAGGCGGACGGGACGGCGGCCGCGCCGCCCCCGCGCTCGCCCCACGCCGCCGAGGAGGCCTCGAGCGAGGATGAGGAGGAGGAGGAGGTGCAGGCCATGCAGAGCTTCGGGGCTGCCCAGCAGAGCGAGGCAGAGCCCAGCCAGACGTGAGCAGGACGGGGCTGGCTGGGGGGGTCTGGGGTGTCCCCAGGTCACCGTGGTGTCCCCAGGGATCTGTGCTCAGTGCTGGTTTGTGGATGGTCTGGGGTGGAGAGGGTCCTGAGGGAGCTGGGGAAGGGTGTGGGGAAGCTGGGGAAGGGTCTGGGGGATCCTGGGGAAGCTGGGGAAGGGGTTCAGCCTGGAGAAAAGGGACTGGGGGGAAATTTAGGCTGGAAATCAGCAAAAACTTCCCAGAATGGGTCTGGCAGGGAGGTGATAAAGCCAAGCCTGGGTGTGACACTTGGTGACAAGGTGACGACAAGGTCACAGAGTGGTCTCAGAGGTATCTCCTGGCGTCGTTAACTCTGATTTTGCTTCCTGGGGTGGGAGTCACACCTTCCTCACCACTCTCTCTGTGCTTGCAGCGTGGTAGGCACGGAGGAACGCATCCCCATCCCGCTCATGGACTACATCCTCAACGTGGTGAGGGCTACCGCCATCCCTGAGGGGTCCCCACTGGTCCTGACCCCCCCTCGAGGAGGTTCAGAGCCCCCCTGACCCCCTTTTATCCCAGATGAAGTTCGTGGAGTCCATCCTGAGCAACAACACCACTGATGATCACTGCCAGGAGTTCGTGGCCCAGCGGGGGCTGCGGCCGCTCGTCACCATCCTGGGGCTGCCCAACCTGCCCGTGGACTTCCCCACCTCTGCAGCCTGCCAGGCCGTGGCTGGGGTCTGCAAATCCATCCTGGTACGGCTGGGGGGCTGCAAATCCATCCTGGGGGGCTGCAAATCCATCCTAGGGGTCTCAGGGGTCTGCAGATTGTCCTGGTGCAGCGCTGGGGGGTTGCAAGTCCATTCAGGAATGCACCCTGATGATGCTCTCTGTTTTCCCTGTGTCCCCAGTCTCTATCCTCTGATCCCAAAATCCCTGTAGGAGGGTTCAGTGACCCCCCGTGAGGGTTCAGTGACTCCTCAGTGACCCCGATGTCCCCTCTCTGTGTCCCCAAACTCTCTCCCATGAGCCCAAAGTGCTGCAGGAGGGGTTCAGTGACCCCTCAGCAACCCAGATGTCCCCTCTCTCTGTCCCCAGTCAGTGTTCCACAAGCCCAAGGTACTCCAGGAGGGTTCAGTGACCCCCAGGAGCCTTCAGTGACCCCTTTCTGTCCCGCCAGACTCTCCCAAGGTGCTGCAGGAGGGTTCAGTGACCCCCAGGCATGTTTAGTGACCCCGATGTCCCCTTTCTGTCCCCCCAGACTCTCTCCCACGAGCCCAAGGTGCTGCAGGAGGGGCTGGTGCAGCTGGAGGCTGTGCTGTCTGCACTGGAGCCGCTGCACCGGCCCATCGAGGCCCCGGGGGGCTCGGTGCTGCTGCGGGAGCTGGCCGGGGCCGGGGCCGTGCCCGACGCCACGCTCTCAGCCCAGGCCACCCCCCTGCTGCACGCGCTGACCGCCGCCCACGCCTTCATCATGATGTTTGTGCACACCTGCAGGGTGGGACAGGTAACGGGGGAGGGGTTTTGGGGGGTTTGAGTGGGGTTTGGGAGGTTGGAATGGGGTTTAGAGGGTTTTAAAACAGGTTTGGAGGGCTTGGGGAGGGGTTTGAGGTGGTTGGAATGAGACTTAGGGGGTTTGAATGGGGTTTGGGGAGGTGTAAATGGGTTTGAGTGGGGGTTTGAGTGGGGTTTGGGGGGTTTGAGTGGGGGTTTGGGGGGTTTGAGTGGGGTTTGGGGGGTTTGAGTGGGGTTTGGGGGGTTTGAGTGGGGTTTCGAGGGGTTTGAAAGGGACTTGGAGGCTTGGGGAGGGGTTTTGGGGGGGTTTTGAATGGGCCTGAGGTGGGGGGTTGAATGGGGCTTGGGGGATTTTGAATGGGGTTTGGGTGGGTGTGAGGCTTAGAGGATTTTAAAGGGGGTTTGGGGGGTTTCAGAAGTGGTTTGGGAGCAGCTTTGGGTACTTAAGAGAGCTTTGGAGGGGTTTGAAAGGGGCTTGGGGAAGGGCTTTAGGATCTCAGGGGGTTTTGGGGGTCCTTGCTGTCCCCCCAGAGCGAGATCAGGGCCATCTCAGTGAACCAGTGGGGATCCCAGCTGGGGCTGAGCGTGCTGGGCAAGCTGAGCCAGCTCTACTGCTCCCTGGTGTGGGAGAGCACCGTGCTGCTGTCCCTCTGCACCCCAAACAGGTACTGGGGACACTGGGAGGGACTGGTGAGGGTTTGGGAGGCACTGGGATGGTACTGGAGGGACTGGGAGGGACTGGTGAGGGTTTGGGAGGCACTGGGAGGGCACTGGTGAGGGATTTTGGGACACTGGGGGGACACTAGGCTGAGCCAGCTGTGTTGCTTGCTGGTGTGGTGCACCCCAAACAGGTACTGGGAGGACACTGGGGGCACTGGTGAGGGTTTAGGGGGCACTGGTGAGCGTTTGGGGGACACTGGGGGGACACTGGGCTGAGCCAGCTGTGCTGGTCCCAGTGTCTGTACCCCCCTACCAGGTTACTGGGGGGCACTGGGGGGGCTCTGTGGTGCCCAGGAGGTGCCCCCAGCCCGGTGACACCCCTGTGCCCCCCCCCCAGCCTCCCCCCAGGCTGTGAGTTTGGCCAGGCTGACATGCAGAAACTCGTGCCCAAGGAGGAGAAAACGGCCCCCAGCCCCCCCCAGGGTGGCCGCAGGGCAGGTGGGGCTGGGGGGGAGTACCTGGGGGCATTTGTGGGGGTTTGGGGGCGATTTATGTGAATTTTGGGAGGATTTATGGGGGTTTCATGGGGATTTTGGGGGGTTTGGGGGGCTTTATGGTGTTTTTCAGAGGGTCTGGGAGGATTTATGGGAGTTTTGGGGAGGTTGGGGAGGGTTTCTGGGGCAGGTTGTGTTTGGGGGGGGTCTTGGAAAGGTTTATGGGGTGGTCTCTGTGTGGGAGGTTGATTTTGGGGCAGGTCTCCATGGGGAAAGGTCAGTTTTGAGGGTTCTCTGTGGGGCAGGTCAGTTTTGGGGGGGATTGCTGTAGGAAATGTTTGGTTTGGGGGGGTCTCTGTGGGAAAGATCAGTTTTGGGGGGGGATCTCTGTAGGAAATGCCAGTTTTTGGGGGTGTCTGTGGAAAGGGTGAGTTTTTAAGGGACATCTCTGTAGGAAAGGTCAGTTTTTGGGGGTCTCTGTGGGTCTCTCACCCTTCTCCCCCACAGAGGGCGAGGCAGAGGGCCCGGGCCCCTCGGTGGGGGCGGGCAGTGACCCCCCCCCAGCCCAGGGGCTGCTGGAGGGGATGGGGCTGGAGGGGGAGCCCCTGGCCCCCATGGAGACGGACGAACCCAGCACCAGCGACCCCAAAGCCAAGGCCAAGATCACCCCGGCCATGGCCGCCCGCATCAAACAGATCAAACCCCTGCTCTCCGGTGAGGGGGGGACCCAAAATGGGGTGGGGGCCTCCAGGGGTGGGTCAGGGGGCTCCAGAAATAGCCTGGGAGACCCTAAAACTGTGTTAGGGGGGTGTCTAAAACAGCTTGGGGGATCCCAGGGTCTCATCCCTGTCCTGCCCCAGGTCTCAGCCCCGTGTCCCCCTTTGTCCTGTGTATCCCTCTGTCCCCTGTGTCCCTCTGTCCACTGTGTCCCCCATCCTCACCGGGGTTCTCACTCTGTCTGCTGTGTCCCCTGTCCCCCCAACAAGGGTCTCACTGTCCCCGTGTCCCCACAGTGTCATTGCAGCTGGGCTGGGCACTGGCCGAGCTTGTCCCTCTGTCCCCCATGTCCCTCTGTCCTCACCTGGGGTCTCACTGTCCCCGTGTCCCCATAGTGTCATTGCAGCTGGGCTGGGCACTGGCTGAGCTTGTCCCTCTGTCCCTCTGTCCCCACCTGGGGTCTCACTGTCCCCGTGTGCCCACAGCCTCATCGTGGCTGGGCTGGGCGGTGGCCAAGCTTGTCCCATGTCCCTCTGTCCCCCATGTCCCTCTGTCCCCACCTGGGGTCTCACTGTCCCCGTGTCCCCACAGCCTCATCGCGGCTGGGCCGGGCGCTGGCCGAGCTCTTCGGGCTGCTGGTCAAGCTGTGCGTGGGCTCCCCGGTGCGGCAGCGCCGCAGCCACCACGCCGCCGCCGCTGCCCCCGCGCCCACCGCGGCCGCCCGCGCCACGGCCTCGGCGCTGACCCGCCTGCTGACCAAGGGGCTGAGCTGGCAACCGCCCCCCTACACCCCCACGCCACGGTTCCGGTCAGTGACCAGGGGGACAGGAATGGGGATGGGATGGGATGGGATGGGATGGGATGGGGAAGGGCATGGCCTCGGCATTGACCTGCCTGCTGACCAAGGGGCTGAGCTAGCTGCCCTACATCCCAATTCCACACTTCCAGTCAGTGACCATGGGGACAATGGGGACATTGGGATGGGATGGGGAAGGGCGCGGCCTCGGTGCTCACCTACGCGCTAACCAAGGGGCTGAGCTGGCAACTGACCTCCTACAGCCCAATGCCACGCTTCTGGTTGGTGACCACGGGGACAGTGGGACAGTGGGAATGGGAATAGGGAACAGGATGGGGATGGGAACAGGATTGGGAACAGGGGAGGGAGAGGGAATGGGAATGGGAACAGGGATGGGGATGAGAATGGGAATAGAGATGGGAATGGGAACAGGATTGGAAATGGGGGAGGAAATGGGAACAGGGATGGGGAATGGGCAGGGTTGGTAATAGGGCAGGGGTGAGGCTGGAGCAGGAGGAGCTGGGAGTGGGAATGGGGAGAGTTTGGGAATGGGGAGGAGCTGGGGAGAGGGGAGGGGCTGCGATGACAGGGACAGGGATGGGAGGGACAGAGACAGGGGTGGGTCTGCCACCTCCAGGGGCCAGAGCTTGGGCAGTGCCCGTGCCCGGTGCCGTGGTCAGTGCCCGGTGCCATGCCCAGCACTGACCCCTCCCGTGCCCCCAGGCTGACGTTCTTCATCTGCTCGGTGGGGTTCACGTCGCCCATGCTGTTCGACGAGCGCAAGTTCCCCTATCACCTCATGCTGCAGAAATTCCTCTGCTCCGGCGGCCACAACGCCCTCTTCGAGTGAGCTGGACACTGACCGCACACTGGCCACTGGCCATGGACACTGACCATGGACGCTGACCAGACACTGACCACTGACCATGGACACTGACCATGGACGCTGACCAGACACTGACCACTGACCACTGACCATGGACACTGACCATGGACGCTGACCAGACACTGACCACTGACGATGGACACTGACCTGACACTGACCCCTGACCGTGGACGCTGACCAGACACTGACCCCTGACCATGGACACTAACTGGGCACTGCACGCTGACCATGGACGCTGACCATGGACACTGACCATGGGCACTGACCTGACACTGCACACTGACCGTGGACACTGACTGGATAGCAAGCATGGACACTGATCGGACAGTGGACCCTGGCTGCACACTGACCCTGGCTGCACACTGACCCGACTGTGGACACTGCCAGGATACTGACTGTGGACACTGCACACTGACCATGGACACTGACCATGGATGCTGACCATGGACACTGATTACACACTGACCATTGACGATGAACTCTGAGCGGACCCTGACCCGACGCTGCACAATGACCATGGGCACTGACCATGGGCACTGACTGGATACTGAGCAAGGACACTGCCCGGGCACTGACCTGACACTGCACGCTGACCGTGGACACTGACTGGATACCAAGCATGGACACTGATCGGACAGTGGACCCTGGCTGCACACTGACCCTGGCTGCACACTGACCCGACTGTGGACACTGCCAGGATACTGACTGTGGACACTGCACACTGACCATGGACACGACCACGGACACTGGCTGCGGACACTGACTGGACACTGATCATGGACACTGGACACTGACTGGATACTGAGTGTGGACACTGGACATTGACTATAGACAATGTCCATGGACACTGTTCACTGATCATGGACAATGACTGTGGTTTCTGTACACTGGCTGGACACTGACCATGGATACTGACTATGGACACTGGACACTGATCATGGACACTGACCAGGCACTGAATAATACACTGAATAATACACTGTGACCACGGACACAGACCAGTGCCCCTGGACACTGACACTGATCTGGGACCCCCGCTGGGACACTGACCCTGCCCCTGGACACTGACCCCTCCAACTCCCTTCCTCTGGGTCGGGGGGGATGCTCCCATGACCTTGGGGGTTGCTCCCAACACCCCAAATCCCTTTTCCTACCCCCCCCGAGACCCTTTAACTGATCACTCCCATGATCTTGGGGTCCCTCCCATGACCTTGGGGTCACTCCCAACACCCCAAATCCCTTTCCCCCCCCAGGACCTTTAACTGGGCGCTGTCCATGGGGGGCAAGGTGCCGGTGGGGGAGGGTCTGGAGCACCCCGACCTGCCGGATGGCACTGGTGAGTTCCTGGACGCGTGGCTGATGCTGGTGGAGAAGATGGTGAACCCCAGCACGGTGCTGGAGTCCCCCCATGCACTGCCTGCCAAGGCCCCCCCGCATGGACACCCCCCCTTCAGCGCCCTGCGCTTCCTCGTGGTCACCCAGAAGGTGGGCAGGGGGAAAAACGGGGTTTGAGGGGGGGGAAATGGGGTTTGGGGAGGGAAAAATTGAGTCTGGGGGGAGGAGATGGGGTTTGGGGAAGGGAAATGGGGTTTGGGGAGAAATAATTGGGTTTGGGGGGAGAAAAATGGGTTTTGGGAGGGAAAAAGTGGGGTTGGAGAAGGGAAATAGGGTTTGGGGAGGGAAATGGGGTTGGGGGTTAAAATGGGTTTTGGGGAGAGAAAAATGGGGTTTGGGGAGGGAAATGGGGTTTGGGGAGGGGAATGGTGTTAGGGCATTAAAGTGGGTTTTAGGGGGGGAAAAATGGGGGGAGGGTGGGGGAGCCCCATTCCCTCTCCCCAAAACTCATGGCCCCACTGTGTCTCCACCTTCTCCCCACCACATCCCATGTCCCCACCGTGTCCTCACCCTGTCCCCTCCATGTCCCCTCCGTGTCCCCAGGCTGCGTTCGCCTGCATCAAGCAGCTGTGGCAGCGGCGGCCGCTGAAGGTGTACGGCGGCCGCATGGCCGAGTCCATGCTGGCCATCCTGTGCCACATCCTGCGCGCCGAGCCGCTGCTGCGCGAGCGCCTGGGCCGCGAGAGAGAGGGACCCGCGCCCGACGAGCCGGGGGGCGACGAGGGGGGGGCCCGCAGGGAGCCCCACGTCAACCAGCAGCAGCTGCAGCAGGTGTGGGGATATGGGATATGGGGGGGTGGGATGGAGAAATGGGGGGGTGGGATGGAGAAATGGGGCGTGGGATGGAGAAATGAACGCCCTCTTCGCTAAAATGGGGAGGTGGGATGGAGAAATGGGGGAGTGGGAGGGAAAAAAATGGGGATGGGAGGGAAAAATGGGGGGTGGGACAAAAAAATGGGGGTGGGAGGGAAAAATGGGGAAGGACAGAAAAATGGGGAGTAGGATGGAGAAATGGGGTGTGGGATGGAAAAAAATGGGGGGTGGGATGGAAAAATGGGAGGAATGGGGGTGGGAGGGAAAAGTGGGGTGGGACAAAAAGATGGGGGGTGGGAGCTCAAAAACGGAGGGGTGGGACAGAAAAAAGGGAAGTTGGATGGAAAAATTGGGGTGGGAGGCTAGAAACTGAGTAGTGGGGCAAAGAAATGGGGGGATGGGATGGAAAAATGGGGGGTGGAATGGAGAAATGGGGGAGGATGGGAAAATGGGAGTGGGAGGGAAAAGTGGGGGGTGGGAGGTCCCCCCAAAGCTTCTTCAAACTCCTTCCTCCCCAAATCCTCCCAAATCTCTCCTTATGCCTCCCAAACTCCTCTTTGTGCCCCTCAAACCCTTCCCTGTGCCCCCAAATCCCCCCCAAACCCTTCCCTGTGCTCCCCTGACCCCTCTGTGTGCCCCCCCTGTGCCCCCCCCAGCTGATGGACATGGGTTTCTCTCGGGAACACGCCATGGAAGCGCTGCTCAACACCAACACCATGGAGCAGGCCACGGAGTACCTGCTCACCCACCCACCCCCGCTCATGGGGGGCTCAGCACGGGTCAGTGGGGCTGGGGGGCACAACGGGGGGNNNGAGTGGTTGGGGGGGTTTGGGGGGAGTTTGGGTGGTTGGGGGGTTTTTGGGGGTCCTGGGTTTCGGGAGGAGGGGCTTCCTGGGGGGTTTTGGGGTGGTTTGGAGGGGGTCCCTGCAGCCCCTGACGCTGCCCCCCAGGACCTGAGCATGTCTGAGGAGGATCAGATGATGAGAGCCATCGCCATGTCCCTGGGCCAGGACATCCCCATGGAGCAACGCGCCGAGTCCCCAGAGGTGGGACCCCAACAACCCCATTTCCCATCCCAAATCATTGTTTCCTATCCCAAAACTCCCATTACTCCCCCATTTTACATCCCCGAACCCCCATTTCACTACCCCAAACCCCCATTTCTCCCCCATTTCCCTGCCCCAAACCCCCATTTCTCCCCCCGAAGCCCCCTCCTCACCCCATTTACCGCCCCAGGAGGCCGCTTGCCGCAAGGAGGAGGAGGAGCGGCGGGCTCGGGAGCGGCAGGAGGAGGAGGAGGCCAAGTGCCTGGAGAAGTTCGAGGGGGCCGAGCCGCTGGAGGCGGCCGAGCTCGGGGCCTTCACGGACTCGATGCTGCCCGGCTGCTCGCAGCTGCTGGACGAGCTGCCCGACACCGTGTACCGCGTCTGCGACCTGCTGATGACGGCCGTGCGCCGCAACGGCCCGGCCTACCGGGACAGCGTGCTCAAACAGGTGGTGCAGCAGGTATGGAGCCCTAAACCCAGCCTAAACCTGCCCCAAACCCACCCTGAACTAGCCATGACACCCCTAAACCTGCCCCAAACCCACCCCAAGACCCCTGAACCCCTCCTAGTATCCCTGACCCCAATGGTGGCCGTGCGCCGCAACGGCCCGGCCTACCGGGACAGCGTGCTCAAACAGGTGGTGCAGCAGGTATGGAGCCCTGAACACTCCCTAAACCCAGCCTAAACCTGCCCCAAACCTGTCCCAAACCCACCTCACGACCCCCAAACCAGCCCCGAGACCCCTGACCCCAATGATGGCCGTGTGCCACAATGGCCTGGCCTGCCGGGACTCGGTGCTCAAACTCGGTGCTCGGTGGTGCAGCAGGTACGGAGCCCTAAACCCACCCTGAGACCCCTAAATGTGCCCCAATCCCCCCAAACCTGGGACACCCTGAACCCCCCGGTGTGCCAGGTGCCCCACTGACCCCTGACAACTCTGACCCCCACTAAGCCCCACTGACCCACTGAGCCCCAATGACCCCTGACCCTCACTGATCCCTGACCCCCACTGACCACCCTGACCCCCCCTGCCCATCCTGACCCTCACTTACCGATGGCCGTGTGCCACAATGGCCTGGCCTGCCGGGACTCGGTGCTCAAACTCGGTGCTCGGTGGTGCAGCAGGTACGGAGCCCTAAACCCACCCTGAGACCCCTAAATGTGCCCCAATCCCCCCAAACCTGGGACACCCTGAACCCCCCGGTGTGCCAGGTGCCCCACTGACCCCTGACAACTCTGACCCCCACTAAGCCCCACTGACCCACTGAGCCCCAATGACCCCTGACCCTCACTGATCCCTGACCCCCACTGACCATCCTGACCCCCACTGACCATCCTGACCCTCACTGACCCCTGACCCCCACTGACCCCTGACCCCCACTGACCATCCTGACCCCCACTGACCATCCTAACCCTCACTGACCTCTGAACCCTGCTGACCACTGACCCCTGAACCCCACTGACCATCCTGACCCTCACTGACCCTTGAACCCCACTGACCACTGACCCCTGAACCCCACTGACCACTGACCCTCACTGACCCCTGACTCCCACTGACCCCTGAACCCCAATGACCATCCTGACCCCCACTGACCATCCTAACCCTCACTGACCTCTGAACCCTGCTGACCACTGACCCCTGAACCCCACTGACCATCCTGACCCTCACTGACCCTTGAACCCCACTGACCACTGACCCCTGAACCCCACTGACCATCCTGACTCCCACTGACCCCTGAACCCCGCTGACCATCCTGACCCTCACTGACCCCTGAACCCCACTGACCACTGACCCACTGACCATCCTGACTCCCACTGACCATCCTGACCCTCACTGACCCCTGAACCCCACTGACCATCCTGACCCCCAGTGACCCCTGACCCCCACTGACCACTGACCCACTGACCCCCAGGTGTGGGAGGCGGCCGATGTCCTGATCAAGGCGGCCGTGCCACTGACCACCAGCGACACCAAGACGGTGTCGGAGTGGATCAGCCAAATGGCCACCCTGCCCCAGGCCTCCAACCTGGCCACGCGCATCCTGCTGCTCACCCTGCTCTTCGAGGTACCCCAAAACCTGGGGGGAGTGACCCCAAAACCTTGGGAAGTGACCACAAAACCTGGGGAAGTGACCACAAAACTTGGGGGAGTGACCCCAAAACCTGGGGGTGGTAACCCAAAACCTGGGAGAGTGACCACAAAACTTGGGGAAGTGACCACAAAACCTGGGGGTGGTCTAAAAAGCTGGGAGGGAGGAAGCCCAAAACTTTGGGGGGGATCCCAGAATCTGGGGAGTGACCCCAAAACCTGGAAGGGGTGGCACAAAACCTGGGGAGGCACCCCAAAATTGAGGGTAACATCCCAGGGTCCCTGGGCCTCACGTCCCTCAGAAAATATGCCAGGTGTTTTCCAGAGGTGGCTCATTTTCCAAAAATCCCGAGGTTTGGGGTGGTTTTGGCGTGTTTTGAGGGTATTTTGGGGGTGTTTGGGATGGTTTTTAGGGTGCTGATGTTTTTGGGGTGCCCCAGGAGCTGAAGCTGCCCTGAGCCCCTTGGAGGGGTCCAGCTGCGTGCTGGTTTGGGGCTGTTTCTGTGGATATTTCAGGGCTGTTTCTGGATATTTTGGTCGGGTTTTTGGGGTTGTTTGGGATGTTTTTTGGGGTGCTGATGTTTTTGGGGTGCCCCAGGAGCTGAAGCTGCCCTGTGCCCGCGTGGTGGAGTCCAGCTGCGTGCTGGACGTGCTGATCAAGCTGCTGGAGGTGGTGCAGCCCTGCCTGCAGGCTGCCAAGGAGCACAAGGAGGTGCAGACCCCCAAGTAAGGAGTGACCCCTCCCAGACCCCCCAGAACCCCCCCAAAACCTCCTATGGGTGCTCTCACAGCTCTTCTTTCCCCCCAAAAAAAGGTGGATCACCCCAGTGCTGCTGCTGATTGATTTCTATGAGAAGACAGCCGTGTCCTCCAAGCGCCGTGCGCAGATGAACAAGGTAGGAGGGCCGGGGGGGAATTTGGGGAGTCCTGGGGGGTTTGGAGGGGCTGGGAGGGGACATGGGGGGCTCCTGGGGACACATGGTGGGGCTGGGATGGAGGTGGAGCAGTCAGGGTGACACGGGGGGTGACACATAGAGTCCTGGGGGACACAGGGGGTGACACACAGAGCCCTGGGGGATACAGGGGGTGACACACAGGGTACAGAGGGACACAGGGGGTGACATGGGGTGACACACACAGTCCTGGGACACACAGGGAGTGACACACAGAGTCCTGGGGGACACACAGTGTCCCTGCGATGGGCACAGTGACCACCACCCCACCACACCCAGCGCTGCCCCGTAGGGGGTTTGGGGGGCACTCAAGGAGCTCCAGGCCACTGACCCCCCCCTCCCCATGACTCCCCCCCAGTACCTGCAGGCCACTGGGAACAACTGGCGCTGGTTTGACGACCGCTCGGGCCGCTGGTGCAGCTACAGCGCCAGCAACAACAGCACCATCGACGCGGCCTGGCGGGCCGGGGAGCCCAGCGTGCGCTTCACGGCCGGCCGGCGGCGCTACACCGTGCAGTTCACCACCATGGTGCAGGTGAGGGGCTGGGGACACAGCCCTGGGGTCAGCCAGGGTGCAGGGACACAGCCCTGGGGTGTGGGGACACACTGCTACACCGTGCAGTTCACCACCATGGTGCAGGTGAGGTGCTGGGGACACAGCATGGGGGGCATGGGGACACAGCCCTGGGGTCAGCCAGGGTGCAGGGACACAGCCCTGGGGTGTGGGGACATGGCCCTAGGGGCAGCCAGGGCACAGGGATACAGCCCAGGGCATGGGGACAGAGCCCAGGGTCACCTAGGGCAGGGGGACACACCCCTAAGGGTAGGGGACAGACCCCTGGTGCCACCCAGCACAGGGGAACATGGCCCCAGTGTCACCCACTGCAGGGGACACCCTGCTGGTGTCACCTCGTGGGACGGGGGAATCTCCTCATGGCAGAGAGACACCCCTGGTGTCACCCCATGGGGAGGGGCCCCAGTGTCACCCCTGTCACCCCCTGGTGTCCCCAGGTGAATGAGGAGACCGGGAACCGGCGCCCGGTGATGCTGACGCTGCTGAGACCCCCCCGCGCTGGGAAGGGCCGTGACGAGGGGGGGGCCGAGGACCCCGAGGGGAAGAGCAAGGATGAGACCCCCGGTATGGGGCTGGGGGTAGCTGAGGGGTTTTGGGGGCAGGGTCTGAGGGGTCATTGGGAGGGGGGTCTGAAGGCTTTTGGGGGGATTTGAGAGGTTTTGGGGGGGATCTGAGCACTTTTGGGAGGGTCTGAGAGGTTATGGAGGGAGTCTGAGGGGTCATGAGGAGGTTGGAGGGGTTTTGGCAGAGTCTGGGGGGGGTCATGGTGGGGTCAGAATGGTCATGGCAGGTCATAGGGATCATGGGGGGGGTCACAGAGGCCACGGTGGGATCAGAATGGTCGTGGGAGGTCAGAATGGTCACAGTGGGGTCAAAATGGTCATGGTGGTGTCAGAATGGTCATGGGGGGTCAGAATGGTCATGGGGGGTCAGAATGGTCATGGTGGGGTCCAAGTGGGGTCAGAATGGTCATGGGGGCATCACAGGGGTCATGTGGGGATCAGAATGGTCACAGTGGTGTCAGAATGGCCATGGGGGGGGTGTCACAGGGGCCACAAGTAAGTGCCCCAGACCCCCCAGCCATACCCACCCCCCAAAAACCACCCTCCTTATCCCTTTCCCCATCCCCACAGCTGCAGACCCTCCTTCTACAGACGAAGACCCCTCCTCTACCACCACCACCACCACCACCACCACCACTCCCACCGCCCCCTGCCCGTCCCCTCCCTGCCCCACGCCGACCCCCGAGGAGCCCCGGGACGACCCCGGCGCCGACGCCGAGGCTCCGGTGCGGGGCCTGGCGGAGGAGGCGGTGCCGGCCGTGCTGCGGGCGTGCGTCAGCATGCTGGGGGTGCCGGTGGACCCCGACACGCTGCACGCCACGCTGCGCCTGTGCCTGCGCCTGACGCGGCAGCACAAGCACGCGCTGCTGTTCGCCGAGCTGCGCTCCACCCGCACCATCCTGGCGCTCACGCAGAGCTCCGGCTTCACCGGCTTCACCCCGCTGGTCACCCTGCTCTTCCGGCACATCATCGAGGATCCCTGCACGCTGAGGCACACCATGGAGAAGGTGAGGGGTGGGGAGGGGGGAGAGGGGATTGGGAGGCTGGGGGAAAGGGAAATAGAGGGATAAAGTGAGAGGGAAGAGGGCATAGGGGAGCTGGGGGTGAGGGGAATAAAGGGAGAGGAAATTGGGGGGCTGGCTGCAGGGGACAGGGGGATCAGGGAACTGGGGGTCCAGGGGACACTGGGGACAAGGGGATTGGGGAATTTGGGCTGCAGGGGACACTGGGGACAAGGGGATCGGGGAATTGGGGCTGCAGGGGACAGGGGGATCAGGGAACTGGGGGTCCAGGGGACACTGGGGACAAGGGGATCAGGGAATTGGGGCTGCAGGGGACAGGGGGATCAGGGAACTGGGGGTTGTGGGCGCAAGGGGGTCAGGGAATTGGCGCTCTGGGGCCAGCAGGGCCAAGGAGGGCTCTGGGGCTCCAGGCTCCCACGGGAAGCTCTCCCGGGGGTGCCCCTCTGGCCCCGTGCCCACAGTGTCCTGCCATGTCCCCCTGTGCCCAGGTGGTGCGGTCAGCAGCCACGAGCGGGGCAGGCAGCACCACCTCGGGGGTGGTGTCAGGCAGCCTGGGCTCGCGGGAGGTGAATTACATCCTGCGGGTGCTGGGCCCCGCCGCCTGCCGCAGCCCCCACGTCTTCACCGAGGTGGCCACGGGCTGCATCCGCATCGCCCTGCCCGCGCCGCGCGGCTCCGGCACCGGTGAGGGGCATGGGGGGGGGATCCTGGGGAGGGTCTTGGTACCTGGAACAGGCTGCTGGAGAGGGGCCTGGGACATGGGGGGGCTCTTGGAGGGTGGGCTGGGATGTGGAGGGGGGATCCTGGAGGGGGGCCTGGGACATGGGGGGAATCCTCGGAGTCCCTGGCATCTGTAATGGGGTCCTGGGAGGATTCCTGGGGGGGGGATCCCACGGTGCTTCTATCCACAAAAAATGGGGTTCCAAGGGTCTCTCAGAACAGGGGTCCTAGGGGTGCCTTTATCCCACAAAAATAGGGTCCCTTCACCCTCAGAATTGGGGTCCCAGGGCTGCTTCTCTCCCCAAAAACGGGGTCCCAGGAATCCTCTTATCCTCAGAATAGGGGTCTCTCAGAATGGGGGTCCCAGAGGTGCCTCCAGCCCCCAAAAACCAGCATCCCATCTCATCCTCATCCCCAACCTGACACCACTGAGGCTCCCCGCAAATCCCTGACCCCTCCCATTTCCCCCCCTTTCCCCCCAATTTCCCAGCTTCTGACGACGAGTTCGAGAACCTGCGGATCAAGGGGCCCAACGCGGTGCAGCTGGTGAAGACCACGCCGGCCAAGGCGGCCGCGCTGCCGCCCATCCCCGAGCCCATCCGCGATGTCATCTACGACATGCTCAACGCCCTGGCCGCCTACCACGCCCCCGACGAGGGTATGGGGGGCTCAGGGGGCTGGGGGGGGCTCGGGGGAAGCAGAGGGAGGAGTGGGGTGCATGTGGAGCAGGAACTGGGGTGGCCTGTGCAATGCCCTGGGTGCCCACCATGCCCCTGTGGGTGTCCCTTGAGGGACTTGGGGAACCCCCACAGTGGGGGGAGACGCCCCCAGAGAAGTTTGGGGTGCAGAGAGAGGAGTGGGGTGCATATGGAACAGGAATTGGGATGTCCTGGGCAATGTCCTGAGTGCCCACCGTGCCCCCGATGAGGGTACAGGGGGCTCAGGGTGGGCAGAAGGAGGAGTGAGGTGCATGTGGAGCAGGAATTGGGGTGTCCTGTGCAGTGTCCTGGGCCTCTGACAAGGGTTTGGGGGGCTTGGGGAGGACCCTTGTGATGGGGGCAGACACCCCCGGGGAGGTTTGGAGGGGAGCACAGGGGGCAGGTATTGGGGGTCACACGAGGAAATTGGGATGTCCCCAGGGAGTGAGGTAGATGTGGAAAAGGATTTGGGGGGGGTCTTCATATGGGGAAGGGATTGGGGTGTCCATATAGGGACAGAACTGGGGTGTCTGTATTAGGGGGCAATCAGGATGCCCCATCCTCCAGGCATCTTCAGTCCCTCTGGGGGTGCCCTTTGTCCCCCCCTGAGAGCTGTGTCCCCCCTCAGGTGACAAGGGGGACCCCAAGAGCGCGGCGCCCAGCGAGGTGAGCCAGCTGCTGTCGGACATTGGGGACGACATGTACCAGCAGTACCGCAGCCTCACCATGCT